CGGCTCCATGCTCATGGCTCCCTGCATCTCGCTCTCGATGGGGCAGGAGCCGGCTCGTCCGTGACCCCCGGCCGACCGCAGCTCCGGGGCCATGGCCCCCTGAACCGAGCAGGACGAGGAGGACGAGGAGGACTCGTGGGTCGGAGAGACAGACGGTGGAGACCGGGACTTCTTCTTAGCTGCGGCTCCGGAGAGAAGCTTGAGGAGACCGCTGCTCTTCTTCTCTTTCTGTGAGAGACACACAGAGTCACACACACAGACAGAGCCCTATGTTCTCAACAAAACATGTGCATAATCCAGTCAGAATAACTCAAACCTGCCGAAATAAAAGAATGAAAGTCCAACTGAAATACATTATGACAGAAATGTATCACTATTGTAGCTAGAGTACAATGTGCTTCTCTTAGTAATAATAATAATAATAACTAAAAAATGACTAAAACACAACTGTTCTTCCATGCTTTAATTTTTTACAGTAAACCTCTGTTGTGCACCAGTTTGCATTACATTTCAATTGTTCATGTTTTATGCCATCATTTGATTACCACTGTTTTTGATAATAAATTTTTTTATTAAATCATAAATCCAGAAAAATTAAAGCTTAATATTTTATGCTTTCATATAATTGCAACCATTTTGGATAATAAACCTGTAAATCTGGAAAAATTTGAACGGACAACACAGAATTTCTGAAAAAGAAAATTATTGTACACATTTTAATTAATTATTAAATTAAGGTTTTATGAATTTAATTGATTAGACATGCTTTTTAATTATTAAAATATTTATAAAATTAATAAAACAGAATCCAGAAAAAATTAAAATGGAATCCAAAAACTTAAAATGCAAAAAAAATAAAATAATAATAATAAAACAGATTTCATAGGGCCTATATTTTTGTAAAAATGTTAATAAATTATTAAATGCTTTTTAAATATTGAAATTTAATTAAATTATTCAAACTGAATCCAGAAAATTTCAAATGAAATCCAGAAAATTTTAATTAATTTGGGGAAAATAAAACAAAATTTTACTGAAATTATTAAAACAGAATCCAGAAAAATTAAAATGGAACCCACAGAAATGTAAATGGTAAAAATAGAATTTGGGAAAAAATTAAATGGGTTTCATGAATCCATTTCAGGGCCCTATTATTGTTAAAAAACTGTAATAAATTATTAAAGTTTTATAAATTCAATTGATGAGACGTGCTTTTTGATTATAAAAATTGCATTAAATTATTGCAACTGAATCCAGAAAAATTCAAACAGAAAAAATTTGGGTAAAAATAAAACAGATTTCATACGGCCTCAAGTTTTATGAATTCAATCGATTAGATATTCTTTTTGGAAAATGTAATTATTAAAATAGAATGAAGAAATGAACAATGAAGACGTAAATGAGGAAAGATCAAAGTCCCGTAGAAACAGCATAAACTCCAGAAGTGCTGCAGGTCTGTGGAGAGAGTGAGTGAGGTGATCTCGGAGAGAACAGAGAGAGATTCAGTGAACAAGCTCGTTCTCAGGACTAACGAGGACACGCTACACAAGACAAGCTCTGGAGAATACAGAGAACTCATCCATAACACAGAAACTGGCTCCAGGGTCTCAAAACATTGTATCCAGATATGTTCACATTCCATCCTACCACATGTGCTGAGACCTGTGCATTAGTGATGGCCGATACATTGTATCAAAAGAATCCATTCTCAAATAAAAGTATCAATCCCATCTGTTTTTTTCAAGTGATTTTAGAATGTTTAGGATAATCCAGGTACCAAGTGGTGATTAGGTTATTCGAATACAAAAAGTCACGTTTAATTATATACTTTATTCAATACCAGTGTTGGGAGTAACGCATTACAAAAGTAATAATATTACAGTAGTATATTACTTTTTGCTGTAACGCAGTAATATAACGCATTACTAATCAAATTTGGGTAATATTATTTGTTTGTACATGATAATATTTCGCTTTATTTACCAGTGTTATTTATGAATGTAATAATGCGATTTGTGCTTATATTTTTTAACCTAAACTACAACGTAACATTAATGTAGACCTACATACCGGTATCTAAATATGATTTCATATATTTTATGCTATATAGACCTACCACGTTACCCTCCACTGGATGTAGAATGAGCAGCATTAAACTACATTTTGGCATTTTACAATACTTATGTGGATATTTTGGATGAAAGTAACTCAAAAGTAACTCAAAAGTAGTGTAATGCATTACAATTCAGAGACAGTAATATTGTAATGTAACTAATTACTTTCAAAAGACAGTAACTAGTAATATATAATGTATTACATTTTGGAAGTAACTTGCCCAACACTGTTCAATACAGATGAAGATTTCACGGGGAGCAGAATATTACACTGCATGCGAGTATAAAGATTTAAACTGGACATTTTAGTTTAATTAAAATATTTCATATATTTTTCATTAGCCTCTATCTATTTCTGAAGATAAAAATCTTTTTAAAAATTGTATCTCTGTTATTAATAAGAACAAAGATACACATTACAAACACACATTATATACAAATAAAACAAGGTGTATTTAGCAGTTCGTTTATTGATATTAAAGGGATAGTTCACCCAAAAATGAACATTCTGTCACCACTGACTCACTCTCAAGCTGTTTTAAACCTGAATGAGTTTCTTTCTTCTTTTGAACACAAAAGTTATTCTGAAGAATGTGGGAACCAAACAGTTGCTGGTCCGCAGTGACTTCCATAGTATTTTATTTTATTTTTTCCTACTATCAAACTACTACCGTTTGGTTCCCTACATTCTTCAAAACATGTTCTTTTGTGTTCAGCACAAGATTAATACAGGTTTGAGATAACATGATAGTGAGTAAATAACGACAGAAATGTAATTTTTGGGTGAACTCTTCCTTTAATGACAAGCAGCAGCATGTTTAGTGCTATTAGACTGCTGTCACTTTAAGAGCTACACGCGTCTGATTCTCTCTCAACTGTTTGCTTTGACTTTAGACATAACCGACTGTGTTTCTATGTAAACCTGTAACGCTCAGCCGTCACGGAAGGTGTTACACTGATCAAAAGGGGTCCGATTTTATGTGTGAGGTAAAACAAGTGTTTTTTAAAAACATGAGACAAACGACAAAAGTAGACTGAATAAATAGTGTATTTACACAATGCACACGGAACTTAAAACAACAACAATAACTTAGGCTGTTAAAAGTGGTCTGCTTCCTTATTCCTGTCATGTGATTGATCACGTGACAGGCAGACCATTCACATTTAAAGACATACACACATTAAAACGAATAAGAGGATTAAAATGGCTAAGACAACATGTAAAACTCAAATATACAGATATAAAACCATCTTAATAGATATGTCTTGAGCGGTATAAATATATAGTCCGTACGGGGAAGACTACAGTATGTGACACTGTCACACAAAGACACGTTTAAAGACACGTGTTTTATTTTTGTTATACAAGTTGTTATATGTGTTATATGCAAAAAAGAAGTCATGTCTATTGCAGTGTATTGAATATTAATGATGGCTATCAAAGTACACTATAAAATCACTCACATCTTGAAAGTACTTGGTATCGGAGCAATAAGAAGATAACTGGCATCGCTCATCCCTACTGTGCAGGTCGTGTGTCTCTTATTTTAGACTCGGAGTTCATTAACAGCTCATAATTAACGCTCGCGCAGACAACATGTGATCACGCCTGTCATCCAGACTGTAACATAATAACTGCAATGCATCTGAGACTGTGCGTCTGATAGAAATATACTGATCGATCGAATCATTTATTTATACTGAACATGCAGTGTTTGGACACCACTTGATGGCCAATGTCAAATCTGTGTTGGACCCCATACAAATCTGTTTTAAATTCAGATTTTTTTCTGGATTTATTTTATTTTTTTCTGGATTTTTTTTCTTTTCGTAATCAAAAGGCATGTCTAATTTATTGAAATCAAGAAATGTATTCAGTTTAACAACAGTTTATTGAAAGGCCTTACGAAATAAGTTTTTTTTTTTTTCCCATATTCTGTTTTGAAATCAAACTAGATTTTTAAAGTAAATATTGCATTGTATCCAAATATATTACATTAAACATTATTACATTTTTAAAAATGTTTAATAATTAAACACAAATGTACAAATGTAAAATTAAAAATTTTAATGAAACAAAATGTAAACAAAAGTATAAATAAGAAATGAAGATGTGCTGGTCTCTATTCTAGCTTGTTTGTGTAATATTTTTATTGATTAATAATGATTAATAAATAAACATTATTAAAAACTAGCCTATATCGACATAAAAATAAACATTTTAGCTCATTTCAGCTAGTTGCTATTTTGAGTTTGAAGCAAAAGAGCCTAACTAAAACGAAATAAAATTAATAAATACTATACATATTTTTTAAACAAAACAAAAACTGATAAAAATGTAAAAAAAACAACAATCAATTATCAAAACTTTAACTAAAACTAAAGTGAAAACAGAAAATATGAAAATATAATCTAATTCAAAATATGAACAAAAACTATAACAGTATATCAATGGTACTAAAATAACACAGAGATGCAGCAACATAGTCTCAATAAAGACCGCATGAGTAGAAAATGGGTTTTCAAGCACTTTCTGAACGCACACAGATACAAACACTCACACTCCCTCACACACACACACACACACACACACACACGGCAATAAAACGTCCTTCCTCACGATTTCTGGCCTGTTTTCCAGCACAAATATCTGTTTGAGTAAGTCGATCCTTGAATGAAACCAACATTAGAGGAATGTTCTGGGTTTAATTCAAGTCACACTTGTGGCGCTTGTAATGCCAATTATGATAGAAATTAATTGAATCTTTTTTTAGGGATTTACTGTTCCTCATGATAACTAATACTAGTATATGAATACATTCCAGTGTTATTTTATTATTATTTATATACTATTATTGTTTTTATAAATATATTTTAGCTTATTTTTATTTCCATGTGTAATTTAAATTTTAGTTAAATTTTTTATATTTTATTTCCATTTGTATTATTATTTTATATATTACTATTTAGGTTTAATTTGTTTATTAATTTCAGTTTTAGATGATCAAAGACTGCAGTTTATTGAAATAAATACATACGCTGCATTTTTCAGAGTGAAATTATACAATAATAATAATAATTCTATTTGTATTGATAGTTTTAGCCAAATTGATACATAATCACAAGAATTTTGGCCAAATTGTGCAGACCTTCAAACAAGTACAGCAAACTTGGAGCTAGAAATAAATACGTAAAAAAGCAAATGTGGCACATTTAATGTCAATTATGACAGAAGTTAATTTAGTGTTTTATTATTTATTCATTGTCCTTTGTGATAACATTCCAGTGTTATTTTACTATATTACTATTATTATTTTATTTAATTATTATTTATATATTATTATAGTTTTTTTTATAAATTCATTATACTTTTTAAAAAAATTTTACTATTTAGGTCAAATTTTTTTAATTCACTTTTAGTCATTTATTTATTTCCAGTTAGTAATTTTACTGCTTCAACGTGCCATAGTAACGTGTCTAATTTTTTTGTTAAAATGTGTCATTTATTTCAGTTTCTCATCTAATATTTGTATTTTTTTTTATTTCCCCGTTATTTCCATGAACAGACATGTCTGTAATGGTTTCAGCACTGACCTTCTCCAGCTTCTTGTCCTGGAGTTTGTGCAGGTCTGCTGCGTTCAGGTGCGCCGCGCTGGCGTTGGGAGGCGTGATGGAGCTCAGGGGCCTCAGGGGCCGTACAGAGGCAGCGTGAGGCTGAGGGGCCGCTGTCATGGACAGGGGCCTCGCGGGGGAGCGAGACGGACTGGCCTGCGGTCGCAGCGGTGTCACGGATGCAGTCGGACGCTCAGGGCTGCTGCTCACCGGAGGACTGTGGACTGACAACAGTAACAGCATTCAGACACAAACAGTCACATGATCAATCATCGATGCAACTTTGGTGCATAAACTGATGAATTTCTAAAACAAACTTTTGATAGCCGTTCCAAACTAGGGCTGCATGATCAGTCAGAATAAAACCAAAACTGTGCTTTGGCTGATTGCAGTTATCAGAGTGAAGCGCGGCACTGTGTTCATTTACACACGCAGCTCATGATTCAGTGTTTCAGTGTCTCATCACTAGTTTATGAGTGATTATAAACCAGATGCTGTAAACACTCCATACAGTTTTCTGCCAAAATAAAAGCTTGATTTAACTTTTGAAAATAAGCTATAAATATTAGTATTATAATTTTACAGTTGTTTTTCTTAAGTACAATTTTTTTTTAATTTTTCTTTATTTTGCAGTGAATTATTATAATAAATATAATTCTTATTTTGTTTAATATTTTTTACTGAGAACTAATAATAATATTAATAATCTAATATAATAAGAAGAATATTAATAATTATTATTATATTATTTTTTATAATTGTTGTTGTTATATTATACTATATTATTAATAATAGTATTGTTATGCACATTAAATTATTATTAAATACAGTTTAATAATATTAAAGTCATATTTCTTTATTATTTTTATTGAGTAACTGTAATAATATTGATATTAATAATAAACTAATATAATAACAACAATAATATTTATAATTATTATTATATCACTGCTAATATAGTTATTGTTTTTATATACTGTTGTTGTTATTATTAGTAGTAGTAGTAGTATTACTACTACTAAATAAAAATATTAAACAAAATAAATATTACTATTGTAATATTTTACCGTAAAATTTAAAAAATTGTACTTAAGAAAAACAAGAGTAATAATAATAATAATAATAATTTTATTTGCATATTGTGTAGCCGTACAAACAAGACCAGCAAACAAAAATATATATATTTTAAAAAAATCATATTTTAAATTGCAATTAATTTTTTTTAATTTTTTGACATTTCCCCCAAATCATGCATCCCTGTTTTCATTTCTGCATTCAGCAGACGCTTTAATCCAAAGCATTGCTCTGCATACACACATCATCATCATCATCATCATCATCAGGTCATGCATTCATCAAACTCTGGTGTTTCAGATCATCATGAGTGAGTAATGGATGTCAGGGATCTCGCCGGCGTCCCGTGCCATCGTTCTGTGCCGCTGCACGAGCTTCACGCCGCTCCTCAAAGTTCAAGAACTGCGAGAATGCAACCCGGCAATTACTGCTAACACGGCCTTCATTACAACTGACATCTTATCTGAGCTGGAAAACACTTTAACAAGCTCCTTCAGCGAGTAATGCACCGCCATCTGACCTGAAGAGATTACAGAGCGTCACGCTAACACACGAGAAACACTCCTGATGTCTGCAGCGCAACATAACACAACAACTAGTCACCAAAACCTGTTAACAGGACATCTCGACTGGTCTCCAAACCTGTATTAACCGTCTGCTATCAGCCAAGAAGTCGCCTGAGCAAAGAGTTTACTGAAAAATCTCAGTTGTGTTGTGACTTCATTTAACATGTAATGTTAAACCAAACATCTCATAAACCTTGAGTTCCCGTAACCATTCCCTCGTATTCATCTCTTACTCATGAAGACACACAGCCCTTAAACACACAGTCATATGAATAAACAACAATGGAAAAATAATATAAAAAAACAATAATAATATAAATCACTAATCAATTAATGAATCAATGAAATGAGTATATAAATGGCTATAATTATTATTATTATAAATGATTATATGATTAAATGGAATAATACAATGACTAAATGAAAAATGATTATGCATGAATGAATAAACGGAGAATAGGAGACTACAAAAGAAAGAAAGTAAAATCAACACAAATGTATGATTGCTCTCTTGAAGCAAAACACAGTTTGCATTTGAGGATCCTCAGATCCTTCAGTGTTATTAAATTATTTACGGTTTACTAGTATCATAGTGATATTTCTTTATTGATTTGTTTAATTTTTATCATTCTTAATTTTTATAATATAATTAATTATAATATAATTTAAAATTTTTCTAATTTTATAATAATAATTACTATTATTA